CCACTTTGGTCCTTTGGCACATGTCACAATTCTTGATATATCGCTTGATGTCTTCTCTTATCTTGGGCCAGTAATATCTTCGGTTAATGAATTCGGTAGTTTTGGCGGTCCCTCTGTGCGTGGCATATGGAGGGTTGTGATGGTGTCGTATGATTTCTGTGCGTAATTCTTCCTAGTTTGGTATCCAGATTTTCCCTTCGTACCACAGGTAATCGTCTTCCCATTGGCACAATCCTAAGGCTACTCTCTTGGTTTCCTTGATTCCTTGTGCCAGTTTTTCCTTGATGTCCTGGATTTCTGCGTCTTGCGAACTTTCTCTCCTGATATCTTCTTCCAATGTTGTCCGTGTGTTGATTTCGTTCAGAGACTGGTATCCTCTGTCTTCCTCTTCTGATTGAAAATATTTTTCTTTTGGTAACAGTATTTGTTGTTTCTGTTTGATTCTCTCATCTTCTGGATTTTTGGGTTTGTCCGCTGATCATCTCGTCAAGGCGTCTGGCTTTCCTCCTTCTTTTCCAGGGCGGCATTCGATTTTGAAGTTGTAGGTGCTAAGTTTCTCCATACACCTTATTTGCCATCCATTCAGCTCCTTCGTTGTTATGAAGGGTACCAAGTTCTTGTGGTCCGTGAGTATTTTGACCGGTACCTGATTGTTTTGCGTGTATTTTCTCCATTCCTTCAGTGCTTGAACTATTGCTAATAGTTCTTTGTCGTGGACGTCGTAGTTGCATTCCGCTGGGGTCATCGTTTTGGATCGGAAAGCCACTGGTCTCTATTTGCCATCCTTGCATTTCTGAGAGAGTATGCCCGAGCATATGTATTTCAAAGCGTCTGTCTCGATCATTGTTTCCTTTGTTGGGTCGAAATGTACCAGTATTGGTCCTTTAGTAATCTTGGTCCTGAGTTCGTCAAACGCTTCTCTTTCTTTGATGCCCCACTCCCATTTGACATTCTTTTTTGTTAGGTTATATAACGGTTTGGCTGTTCGACTAAAACCCTCTATAAACCTTCGATAGAAGTTGCAGAATCCCATAAAGCATTGGATATCCATTCTGTTCTTGGGGTATTCCCATTCCCATATGGCTTTGGTTTTAACTGGGTCCATCTGGACCCCTTCGCCATTGATGATGAATCCTAGGTATTCGGTTTCTTTTTTGTGGAATTCGCATTTGCTGGGTTTGCACTTTATTCCAGACTCTTTGATGTCAGCCATTATATTGCGGATGTCCTTTCGGTGTTGTTCCATATCTTTGGAGTATATTAGTACATCGTCTAAGTAGACAATGCAACATATATCCAGATACTTGTGGAGTACTTTGTTGATCCATCGTTGGAACGAGGCGGATGCATTAGTTAGCCCGAATGGCATAACTAAGTATTGGTAGGTCCCATATTTCGTCGCGAATGTTGTTTTCCATTCGTCTCCTTTCTTGATTCTGACATTGTGATAGGCATCCCTAATTTCCAGTTTGGTGAAGTCTTTGGCTGATGCCAGTCGATCCAATGCTTCTCCTATTAGAGGTAGGGGATATCTATCTTTTTTTGTTATGTGATTGAGTGCTCGGTAATCAATGCATAACCTTAGTTTTCCATCTTTCTTTTTGATAAACAGGATAGGTGATTCTCCGTTGGCGTAGGATGGTTGAATCCATCCTCTTTCCAGGTTCTGTGGAATGTATTTTCTTAGTTCTTCAAGTTCGGTTTCTCCTAGCGGGTATATTCTCTTCTGAGGCAGTCCTTTGCTAGCTTCCTCAAAATTGATTTCCAAATCGACATCTGGCCTGTGGGGAGGTAACTTGGTTGATTCTTTTTCTTGGAACAAGTCTAGATGTTGATGGTATTCCTTGGGTACCAATCGGTCTAGTTTTTCGTTCTTTATCTGAGGTCGACTTCTTATAGCTAGCTCTGTACTGATATTGATCTTTGCTAGGCTTGTTCCTTGGTTTTGGTAATCCCATTTGAGAATTCCTGCCGTTTCTCCCTTGCGATAGAATTTCCCGAAGGCTTGCGCCGATATCCTGTTGATCTCGATCCTTGGTACTTTTTCTGGTGGCTGTCTTTTCTGGTCTGTGCTGCCGAATCCTTTGGTTCCTCTGGTAGTTTTGGTAAGGTTCTCCACCTCTTGGAGTTCCTCTTCATTGATTTTTTCGATAATCAATTACGCGATCTTATCGCCTCTTTTCACCATATAGTCTTTGTCGTCCTGGTTGACCATGACCACCTTCAATTCACCCGTATAATCGGCGTCTATTACTCCAGCATTGGTAGTGAGTCTGTGTTTGACTGCGAGACCGCTGCGTGGTGCTATACGCCCATAGGTTCCTTGAGGTAACTCAATGGTTATGCCCGTTGGAATAATTACCTGCCCGTTGGCTGGTATCTTAACTTATTCGTTGGCATACAGGTCGTGTCCGGCTGCCCTCTCGGATCCTCTCGTGGGTATCTTTCCTTCTTGACTTAGCTTCTTGACTTTGATCCTTGGATTCTTTCTTGGGTGAACTTGATTGAACCTCGCGTCTAGGTTCTCTTAGATTGCTTCTTCTTCTGGGGTTGCGTATATTACCGGCGAGCTGTTGAGACACCATGTCGTACATTGTTCGCTGGTAAACGCAACCTTTCCTTCTTCCCAACTGATGGTAGGGTTATGTTGTCGTAACCATGGCCTCCCTAGGATTATCTTATGGTGTTGCAGGTTCGCCACTTCGAAGGTCGCCACTTCCCTATGATTTCCAATATTTATAGGTACTTGCGCTGTATGGGTAATTGGCCCCATATCGCTGGGTTTTCCGTCTGCGAGGTAAATCTGCCTTTCTTTCTTCGTTTTCTTGGTCCTTAACTGGTATTTCTTGCAGACTTCTTCGTCTATGAAGTCTTCCATTGCTCCTGAGTCGAGCATCACATGTATCCTGATTGCTTGTTTTTTGTCGTCGTATATTGTGGTTTCGATCATGATATGATCATTGTCGTTATTGTTTTTCTGACTTAAAAGAGTGTAGTAGTTGGCCGTTGAGATGGGTTTGTCTTTCGGAGGGTCCTGCAGACCATCTATTGCTGGGGACCTTGGTCTTTTGCCACCGTTTCGTATTCGTTTTCGATATCGATTTCTCTGATATTGCTGCGGAATCGGAACCTAGTATTTGGCTTGGTATTCTGTTGACTCCTTCCTTGATTTGGGTTGGCCAGCCGTCTGCAATCTTTTATCATGTGTCCTGCTATTTCGCATCTTAAGCACAGGTTGTTGTTTCGTCTCCTAAGGTACTCGTCTCTTCCGAGGTTGAGTGACGGTCTTTTTCTTGTTGCGTCCAGGTCCATCGCATCCCCTCCTTGTGTCGTGGTCCTATAGGTCCCATTCTGGTTTCTGGGGTTGTTTTGGTTTCTTTAGTATGTTTGGTTAGACTGGCTTGAGGTGGGCTGAGTCTTTTGTATCCAGTCTAATTGTCCAAATTGGATTTCTTTTCGAATGGCCCAGCTAGCCATAGCTTCTGTCGTCATGAATTTTTCCTCGCTGTATCTCCAGGCTTCTTGATAGGTCCTCTTTAGACCTTTCATGAACCACCTCATTGCTGTGGCTTCGTCGCATTCGGCATCGTATTGGAGAAGTCTGAATTCGTACCAATAATTAGTGACATTCTTTGTCCCTTGTCTGATGTCTTCCAATTTGTTCTGCGCCGATTGGCTCAGTTCTATATTCATAAACTGAGCTTCAAATCTGATTTTGAAGCTGTCCCAGGTTGTCCATGGTACGGGTGTCTGACTGAGCACTATAGGAGTAACCCACTGTAGGGCTGCTCCTTCGAGTTGTGTTAAGGTGTAACATATCTTGTCATCATCGTGTTCTTGGTTCCATCCTACTGCATTGAAGTATGTGAGAAGTTGGACCATGAATCCTCGTAGTTTGCTTCTTTCCCCATCGTATCTTGATGGCGTTTTGACTTTTAGCTTCTGGTCTTTGTTTCGGAATTCCTCTTGTATCATCTGTTGTACTTCTTCTCGAGTGAACAGGGCTGGTCCTGCTGGGGGCGGCCCAGGTGGTGGTGCTGATCCTGACATTCTTTCAGGTCTTGGTGTATCTGGAGTTTCTTCTGGTAAAGGTGGAGTGATTGGTTCTGGGGTGACGGGACTTGTTGTTCTTGCTGAGTGTCAACTGGCTTCACTAAGCCCTCCTTCCAATCCTCCTAGTCCTAGACTGTCGTCTTGGACGTCTATGTCTCCCTCGTGATCTCTGTTGAAAGGATCTGTGATGTAATCATTAAGTGTCGCGTTGTAGACACGTTCTAATGTTAAGAATCCTACTGAGTAGGACCTAGCGACAGGTAACGATACTTCTCTGTAAGATGATAGCTCTCAGGCCCGTGCCTATGTGATCCCGATAGTCCAGTCCTATAACTACTATCGTGTTCACGCCTATCTCTTTATTCTTCTCCTTAGTCCTCGCTTAGGACTTACTTCTTCCTTGTGAGAGGAAAGACAATTCTTGGGTTTCTTAAGATAAATCTTAAAGAGCGTAAAGGTAAGTTTTATTGATAATAACTTAAAGGTAGGAAATAAACAAGAAGAATGTGTGAAGAGCTCATACTCGGGGTCCTAGTGACCCTTTATATAGTCGCTCTTCACCTGGCGTGACTCACTCCTCGTGTCACGCGAACCCTGTGACTCATAACCATGAGTCATATGAAATCTATCAGACAACTCCTATGAGTCGCTGCGCAATCATGCTTAAACCAATCAAAACATAATAGCTAAATCAGGTGCGCAACTTGCATTACTTGAGTGAGACCCATGACCCATAAGTATGAGTCATGTGCGAAAACCATAACATCGTGTGACTCACAACTGTGAGTCACGAACAGGTAAACATAATAACCTATGGCGTACTAGTATGCGTTATGTGAAATCCCAACATACCTATAACTCGGAAATCCGAGCTATGTGAAATCTGCCTTGCTTAGTCACAGTTTGTGACAGATCCCTCAAGACTATTTACATCAGGTCCTTAAGTCTATTATTGCTTCTGCTTTCATGCATCTCCTTGAGTATAATGCTTCTCTGGAAACCCAGTATATCAAAGACCAAGCCCTGATCTACAGAACAGGTAGGATATTGAGAGAGACTAAAAACACTCTTGATATTCTACTTTACTATTGATTACTAGCACCTTCTTCACCTAACTTTAATCCTATCAAGAACATGTGGTAGATACTCAAGCAAAGAATCAAGGTATGGGATACCTTTCCTCAAAATTCTGTGATTTGAGAAAGGCTATTCAGAAAGAGTGGGATTGTTTACAGCCATCCTCATGGAACCAGTATATAGATAGTATACCTGTATGGCTCATACAAGTCAAGGAATGGAAAGGGATGCAAACAGAGTTTTAATGCTTTTTGTTTATTCTTATTCATCATCTCTACTATGCCTGATTTTCTTTGAATTTTCCTACTACTTCTGTTATTGAGCTATCATTGTTGCTTTGAAACTGTTGGTCGTTCATGAGATGAGATGTGTGGCCGTTACCGGTGCTTTTTGTCGCGGGCCTCGTGCGAAGGAAATGAACATTCAGAGGATTTCAGCCGGGAGAGTGAGGTCCGGGTCAACGGGGCACGACTGTGTCTGATAACTTTTGGCAAATTTAGTATTATTGGTAACTTATGATACTTTGTATGATACTCGGACATGAAGCTCCACCCTAACCCATGCTTTCCCCCATTCCGATGATACCGTGGGCTACGGTGCGGTGGTCTGCTCCATGCCCCGCACAGCGCACCAACGAACTCGCATGATATCATAAGGACAAGCACACCTCCTGCCAAACCTCTCGTGGGGTTACTCCGACACCCGGAGAGGAAGACAATTATTCCGGCATACTGCCTCCGGGGCTGTAAAACCACTGGCATTCAGCCGAGGTATCACACGTTTGCCGCTCTCCTCCTGGTCATCGCATGCGGCACGGGGGCTACAGCACCACTTGTGGACCCAAACCCTCCAAAGCACGGTGCAAACACCGCACGAGTATCGTAGCGTACAGTACAAGTACGGACGGCCCGCGGCATCCAACCACCGTAGCTCTCTTCAAGCATTGGCGGCTTTTATCCAGAACACGCCTGCACTCCCTGAAAGGGAATCAGAACCCCCCCCCCCACACACTGAGACTACGCCACTACCGATAAGATGGCATCAGGTTCCGCCCTTACACTTGCAAAGAGGAATCTGAGGATGGCCGTGAAGAAGACCCTGTCTACCATCTCCCCCGAGAGTCTTGCGATTCAATGTAAGGTATTCCACCACCCAACACTGTATTCATATTGCCGGCTCTCCACATTCAGTTATTCGTGTGAATGATGGCCGGTGTAGGGACCGAGGGGAAGATTCAAGCTCTAATGGTAGTCCTAAAGCTCAATTATGTGTCGACACACTTCTGTCTCTCCCCGAATACCAATCCTCACGTCAGGTGAGCGTCTTTCTCTCCATGCCGGCTAAGGAGATAGATACTTCTCGGATTGTGGAGGATGGCCTTGAGAGTGGTACGTAATCGTATCACGGCCCGCTCGTGGCTTCCCTTGAATTTGTAGTTAATTCCCCACAGGTAAACGGCTATATGTACCTTATATATATCGCCAGCCCCCGACCCAGCCGGCCTTATCTGACCCCGCTTCAGCTTCCTCCCCCCCAGGCTTGATGGATATGTTGTCACTTCACTCTCTCGCTGACTACCGATCCTTCAAGCCGGACAAATGGGGGATCCCTACGATTCCAAATGGTTCGATATCCACGAGGCACAATTGCTTGGAGTGTGAGGAATCGGTGCCCGATCTGATAGTTATGCCCGGTGTTGCATTCGATGAGGGCTTCAAAAGGCTGGGGCATGGTAAGGGCTATTATGACTACTTTCTAGCTAGGTGCGAGGGGGTATCGGATAGAGACGGAGTCAAAAGAAAAGGAAGAATGCCAATACTAGGTGCTTATACCCATATCACATGCAAGATATACACTTAGGATGCTGACCCGTTGCAGTTGCCCTCGCACTGAAAGAGCAATTATTTGAAGACGGGACCGTGCCGGTGGATGTCAGTGATTGGCCTATGGATGTGATCATTTCTGGGGACGGGAGACTTCTGCGAAGATAAATGATATCATAGTATAAAGATTTTAGGCTGTGCTAGGCTGCCACGAGAAATTTCTCGAGTGTGGTACAGTATTGCACTTGTAAATGCTTCAACTCGCGATCAGAACAATTTGGTGTGCATCCGCAATCCCCGGTTACAATAGTGATGAGTCACCCATGCCTGCGGTAAACATGCCAAGTGAAAAGTGAACACAAGGGCATTGTCACTAGAGGCAAGTGATGCTGTGTGCCTTTCGTATGGCAACCACCTTGAAAAAAATAAAATAACATCAAGCTCACTCCAAAAAGATCTCGATTCTTCCTCACTTAACCCCCCCCCCCTGCCACCAACACCCCTTCCTACCCATAGCCCAAATAATACTGAGCACCGCAACCTCTCGTTAATCAAATCTCTACAGCATCCTATCTCGCTAACCTTCAAATGATGGCTTCGCCGAACGGGCCCTCTGATCAATTTGCGCCCGTGCTCGCGGCTTTGGCGACCATGCAGGGCAACGTCGACCGGGAGCAGAAGTACCAAGCTACACAGTTCCTGGAGCACTTTCAAAAATCGGTTGGTTATAATTTGGAAATTCTTGCTTTTTAAAGTCGGGGGGAAAGAGATGGGATGGCGAGATTTCCGTGGCCGTTTCTTCCTTTGAGTGAGGCTCATTTCTTAGGATGATGGCGGGGTCATCTGAGGGGGGGTGATGCGGGGTAACCCTGCAACAGGAGGAGCACGATGGACAGAGGGAAGGAAGGAAGGCGCTGACTGGAATAATTTTATAATATTAGCCCGAGGCATGGACTGTTGTGCACGCTATTTTACAGTCTGAGAGCGCTGGTGTTGAGGCACAACTCTTTGCTGCGACAACACTGAAAGGAAAGGTTTGTTGGCTCCATAGCACCTTGGTGACCGGGATCGACCGCGCTAACCATCTGTTCCTCCCCACCTCCACCCCCAGATCACTTACGATATTCACCAACTGCCACGGGATTCTCTGGTGGATCTAAGGAATTCCCTATTGAGCCTACTCGTTAGCTATCGGAATGGCTCGCGCCCGATACGAACACAATTGTGCGTCTGTCTGGCTAGTCTGGCCTTGCAGTTGCTGGAATGGAAGGACGTTATTAGTCTGGTGGTTAGCACGCTGGGAAACGATGTGGAGAGCAGTGTGTGTTTGCTGGAATTTTTGAAAATTCTTCCCGAGGAGGTTACCGAAGGGAGGAAGGTTAGCTTGACGGTATGTAATTCGGGGTGTCGTTCCTTCCCAATAATTCGAATTTCAGGGCAAGAGATTGATGAAGAAATTACTTTCTTAGGAGGAGGAGCTTGAGACAAGATCTCGAGAACTGCTCACGGATAACGCTACAGAAGTACTAAGGCTTCTTGTTCGATATGCGCAGTCAACAGGTGAGTTCGATCTCATCTCCCTTACATTTCCACTCCTTCATCCCCCCGTTCCAATTTACTAATCCTACCCCCCACTGCTACGGTTTAGCTGGATCCCCGCCCAATCCTGCCCTGATATCGTGTGTAAACTCCTGGCTTCGTGAGATCCCGGTTCTTGATGTCATCGGAACCCAACTCATTGATGTTATCATCTCCGCACTCTCCTCGGAAGCAGCTCTCGACCCTGCTGTTGAGTGTCTTTGCAATATCTTTCGTGAGACACGGGAGGTTGATGTATCACAGGAAGCCATCCTGATCCTATATCCTAGGGTTATGAACTTACGACCGAAGATCCGTGAAGCCGCTCAGTCGGAAGATTCGGAGAAATTCAGGGGCTTCACTCGGATATTTGCAGAGGCTGGAGAGGCTTGGGTGGTTCTAATCGCACGCATGCCGATGGACTTCCGTGAATTGGTGTCAGCAATTGCTGAATGTGCTGCTCTAGATGCTGAGCGCGATGTTATCTCACTAACTTTTAACTTTTGGTACGAGCTTAAGAACTATCTAGTCCTGGAGAAGTACATCGAGGCAAGGGTAAAGATAGCCGATATCTATTCCCAATTGGTTGATATCATGATTAGGCACCTTCACTACCCTGAAGGAAGTGAAGCAGACCCGTTCAACGGAGACAGAGAAGCAGAGGAGAAGTTTAGGGAGTTTAGGCATTCCATGGGGGATGTGCTGAAGGATTGCTGCGAAGTTATTGGCTCGGCAGCATGTTTAGGAAAGGCTTACGCTGAGATTCAGAACTGGATGCAGCGTTACGCCACCGACTCCCAGAAACCTGTAAATGGTCGAGTCGAGAGCTGGCAGAGTTTGGAAGCGCCCCTCTTCAGTTTAAGGGCAATGGGAAGGATGATTCCTGCGGATGAGGAGCAAGTGTTACCCCAGATAATGACATCCCTAGTTCAGTTACCGGAACACGATAAGGTTCGATTCGCCGCAACATTGGTCTTGGGGAGATACACTGAATGGACATCAAAACATCCTACATATCTGGAGCCTCAACTCAACTACATCACCAGAGGTTTCGAACATAATTCCAAAGATGTCGCACGCGCCGCTGCCATGGCTCTGAAGTTCTTCTGCCAAGATTGCGGAAAGCTTCTCGTTGACCATGTGGGCCAACTGCACAACTTTTACGAACAGGTTGCCGGTGATCTCCCCATTGCTAGTCTGTACGAGGTCACAGACGGAGTTGCCCATGTTGTTGCGGCCCAGCCGCTCGACAAGATATATGATGCTTTGAGGCTGTTTTGCGAGCCCATTGCAAAAAGGCTCATGGAGAAGGCAAATAGTGCCAATGACGACAAGGCTAAGTGTGAACTGGCTGGTACGCCCTATCAGGGACCCAATTTGCTTTCTTTCACGACTATAGCAACTAAGAATGACCCCATCCAAATAGATTACATCCAACTCTTGACAATCTTTGTTCAAGTTGTTCACCCACATGTTCCCCCGGGAACATTGAATCCTATGATTCGCTTTTGGTCAGGACTTGTCCCGGTGCTTGGGACGATTCTCGATAATTTCGTCGAATTCTCACCGGTATGTGAGAGAGTTTCGAGATGTTATAGGACGATGCTCGTAAGCTATAGGACCGATATGCTGCCACTTCTGCCTCAATTGGCGGAGAAATTGGTTACCTGTTTCCAGAAGTCTCATCAAGGATGCTTTTTATGGGTTACCGGCGCAGTCATCAGAGAGTTTGCAGACGAAGAGCTTGTCGATGAAGCAACCAGAGTCTCGGTTTACCAGTTTCTAGAGCAGCAATGTCTAAACATGTTCCGACTATTGAACACAAAGGCCGCTACTGAAATCCCTGATGGTTTGCTCTCTCCCATTCTGATCATACAGCTCTCCTTTCAATATCTAACCTGCTAACCGGAGCTAGTTATTGAGGACTTCTTCCGCCTTTTGGTCGATGGTGTCATGTTTCACCCCTATAAGCTGATACTCTCCAATTTGTTACAGCCCATATTCGAAGCTTCTCTTCACTCTCTGAGTTTAGAGCAAGTCGACCCCCTCGTGGCTGTTTTACAGTTCCTTCGTGACGTGCTGGCCTATGGCCGCTCCTCGCCGCCAACCAGCGCTTACCCAGAAAACCCGAAGGAAGTTCAGGAAGCGGTGAAAGCCACAGCCCTGAGCAAGGGAGAGCTTATAACTCAGAAAATCTTGAGTGGGTTGATGTACTCTTTCCCGAGAGACTGTGTTCCGGATTCCTCTGGAGTCCTGTTGGCTCTGGTTGAGCTTTGTCCCGAGCCTTGGCTGCAATGGATGAAGCGGACTCTAGAGCTGCTACCGGCTGGAAGCATTTCTCCTACCGAAGCACAGAAGTTCCTGACCACCCTTGAAGGGTAAGAAACGTCCTCACTAATATCATCCAATTGCACCGAGGCTAATGAATAACCCTCTAATTCAGTGCCGTCTCTGCAAGAGATTTCAAGAAAATCCGGTACTCCCTTCAGGATTTTACCAACTGGTATAGGCGCAAGAATGTGGGTTGAATATTCCCTCTTTAGCATTTCGACAGAATTGCCCCCTAATGTCTGATATTAACTCACCATTTTCCAACAGGTCACACCCAGGACCGCTATCACAGGTATCGAAGGTATCGAAGGCTCTCGTTTCTCATTCAGCGAATAAAAATCTCCTTCTCTCACTACCCACACCGCTAGCGAACAACGGAATATCACAACATTCTAGATAAAAAGTTCCCCCCCTTTCATCGACCAGCTTGCTACTCAACCGTACTACAACAGCCATCATTTGTAAAATCAATCCAGTCGTGAAAAAACTATCTTTTTATCAGCCCTCTTTCCTTTTCTCAAATTTACTTTCCTGGTGGGGCTTACTGTTTTTACCTTTTCTTTTCTTCTATCACCATTTCTCTCTTGCTCCTTCTTCCATCTTCTACTCGTCGCCCCGGAAACTGTATCCATTTCCTTCCCCATTCATTACCCTTTTAACCTTCCTGCCTCTTTTTTTTTTTTTGTCTAGAATAGGGTAGAGCGAACGATGGTGGAAAATTGAGAATGGAAACTTTAATGATGTTTTTTTCCCTCATGATCCCACAAGGCCTTACTTATTGTGGTGGACGGGCGGGGCCGATACTCGTAGATATGACCCTTACGTGATCTAAAACTGCAAGTTGTAACGAGAAGGCCCATAAATTTTGAAACAAAATACGCAAGGGGAGTCGGTTGCTATACGACACAATTGCTACCACTCACATGATGTTCGTAATTTGCCACTGACCTGCATTCATAATACCGGAGTATTGCAGGCAGTGCTTTAGGGAATTAGATTCCGCAAGGGATAAGTTGTTTATAGGATATAGTGGACCCCCGACCATAACGTGTATCAAACAAGTTAGTGACAGATAAAAGTGCTTTTAATATATATATATATATATATAAGAGCCTCAATAAGCTAAAACGAAGGCAAAGCACGGTACGAGTACAGTACAACACCGACAGCCAACCAGGAACCAACAACATGAAAAACTATCCGACCGACCGTTGACAACGACGACAACTTCGTCCTTCGCGCACAATATATACAAGTAATACCACCCAAAACACATTCCTCGGCAAGCCCTAATTTATACCGTACGATACCTCGCTAAGAATTTGGCTCAATATTTATCGGTTATACCCTCCCTTCCCCCAACTCACCCACCCAACCTCCATCCATCAACATATCATACTTGTACTCTGCAATCAAGCCCATCATCACAACCTCGGAACCTCTCTTTTTTTTTAGGGAAGGAGAAAGAGAGAAAAAAAAAAAAAGGCAAGCGCAGGTATCCAGCCCGGACAAAGCGAGAAAGAAAGAAAGCAAATATCATGTGATACTATGATATGATATGATAAATCCCACCATGTCGGGTATAACCCGTCAAAATGTTTCAATCTGGGGGGGAGGGAGGGAGGGAGCCAAGTATGAGACTAGGCGCATCCGGGACTCACTTAATCTTTGGAGAACAAGTATAGGGAGAAAAAAAATAAAAAATAAAAAATAAAAGGGTATCGCACCATCTATCTTATCTCTGTCCTTCCTTTTCATGCATTGCTCAAAGGTTGTAATCCGAGCGTGCAACCTCATACCGGTAAGTAGAAGGATGATGGGGAGGGAGAGGGAGAGGGAGGAGGGAGGGAGGGGTGAAGGTTGCCGTGCAAACTGGGTGGAGGTGACACCGGATCGTACAAAAGTGAGAGGGGAGTGTGGTGCAAGTGAGTAAGGGATCAAGCTATCCGAGTCACGAGTAAAGTCAAGTTGAAAAATCCCGGGTTTTTTTCTTCCTTCCAAGGTGGCCTTTTCCTTTTCCTCCTCCTTTTCTCCTTTCATTCCCGCTTTCCCCTTGAGTGCTGCCTGCTAGGTTGTCAACCCATCCCAAATCAATACAAGGTCAAAGGAGAAGACTCATAATCCACCCGTAGATCGGGGAGGTAGATACCGTGGGTGAATACGTAAGTACAGAGCATAATTACACACGGAAGGTGAGAAGTAGTAATATACAAAAAAAGCCGACAGTAGAAAAAAAACCCCCCGGAACGAAACAAAGCAATAGTAGCAAGCAAGTATGCACAAAGCTTTTGTCTTTTTTTGTTTTTTCTTGCTGCTGTTCTCGTTTCCGGATTGGAAATAGATTCCTTTCCCGCTCCCACTCCCACTCATCCTTAACCCAGCCAGGCAAATATATATATAAACATATATATTATATAGAAGAAAAAAAGAACACTTCTTTAGTTCCCCCTTAGAAACACAAAAAAAATGAGAATCTGAACTCCAATTCCCCCAACCCAGGCTTTAAAACGCATGATAAAAAAGATAAAAGTTTTGTTTTCCCCACCGAAAATGAAAGAAGGCGACATAAGTGTCAAGGAAAGTTATCCGTAACCATGAAGAAAGAAAAAGTTAAGAGGAGAAGAGAACAGCTGAAAAAAAGACCCCCCAAGAACCTAATAATGAAATATGAATAAAGGATTCATACAAGAAGTGACAACCCGTGACATAAGAAAGGCGTAAAAGAAACTAACGTACACTGCTACTCAACGAAGTAGTCCTTTGGTCCTTGGGCATAGGTGGAATCCTGACTGGTTCCATAGCAAGCTTTGACGAGCTGATCGCCGGAGGCAGCGGTGCCGTTACAATTGATGTGCACGGTGTAGGACCAGCAATGCTTGCGGGTCCCTCCATTAACGGCGCCATGGGTGTTTTGGGTGAATTTGTCGAAGTCGCAGGACCCTCATTCGTAGCTTTCACACTCAACCTCTCGTCACTCTTCTCGACGGGATCTGATCTGTGCTTCCGTCTACCATAGTCTTCTAAAGTCATCTTCTTCATCCTTGTTGGGCTAGGATTGACCATGCTACTGTTCAGTGCAGTCACCGACGGATTGACACAGTTGGGGTATATCATCAAAGGCGGCTGAATCGGTGCCGAATTAGGAGCCGAGGGTAGCGAACTCTGGAAGGCGGGTGTCGACGGTCCGTTGACAGCGCCTGGACCAGGTAGCAACTGCACTTGTAAACTGGGATTCTTATACCCATTCACCCGAGGCTTATCCTGAGGTAGGTTCGCCTGTGTTTTTTCCGAGAATAACTTCTCTTGAGCAGGGATAGGCTGAGTTGATAACAGCTTATCCGAATCAGCCGAAAACAGATCTGCCAGCGAGGGGCCAGGAGGTCGAGGTGGCGAAGGTGATTTAATAGCACTAGCATCAGTCATAGTAATAGAGGTGCCAGATGTAATTAAGGCTCGACTCGACGGAAAATTGGTGTCCGGAGCAGGTAAAGGCACGTCCAAAGATCCCTTTTCATCTGGGGGAGGCGAGACTGCTGTACCCCGGGCAGACCCACTGTTGAAAAGTTTTGGGACTTTGGGAGAGGGTATATTTTCAGAGTCCCCAGAAACTACACCAAGTTTTCTCTTTTTGTCTTCCAACACAGTTGCAGCGGCATCTTCCCTGTCTCGCAGTAAGCTCTGCATCAACCGCTTCCGAAGAGGTAATCGGGGTGGCCGAGGAGGAGCCTTCACAGCAGCTGGTGACCACCAAGGAATTTCCCCTTCAACAGGATCGGTTTGCATTGCCTTGTCCTCATAGCGGGCTCGTACAGGCCTTACGACAGTCTTGCTAGCGCGCTTGAGCGTATCGGATCCTTGGGTTAACTGACCGACCGGAGAATAGGAAACCGTTCGGCGGGCTATCCTCTCATCCGAACTGACGGGAGAATCCGACGCTCCTCTCCCGACACCGGCATCAGTGACAGAGTATTCCACAAAACCGTGGTTTGGGCCAGTTCCTGCTGTAGGAGGTGAGTATGGCGATCTTGGGCTGGGGAGCTTACTCCTCTTACCTGAATCGGGTACTTTTATCCCATCCTTCATATCGGTACCCGGACTGTGCAAGGACGATGCGCCAGGGGTAAGCGAGACCGTACTATTCCTCTTCCTCCGCTTTGCAACCTGAGGCTGTTGCTCCTGCTTTTCTATTCGTGACAGGACCTCCTTGAATTTCCTAGCTTCACGTCCGGTCATCTCACCCCTCTCCACAGCAACATCCTGAGGCATCGACGGTGTAATATCACGGCTTCTGGGCTTGCTTCGTGATACTGGCGGTGAAACGGATCGACCTTCTTCATCTTCCTCCTTTTTCAACGGAACAGACTGGCAGTCAGGGCTTGGCCGTTTAGAACCAACTGCTGACTCGGTAGATGCATTGGTCCTGCGCTGCTTACGCGAATATCCATTCCCATTGAGGGTCCTTCCAGCAACCGCTTCGCCATCGGCTATTTTCCTGATTTGGTTAACAAGGCACTCCTTCCCTCCCGAGCAAGCGCAATCCCCCATCTTGTGGGTCAGCTGCTGCATCCAAACCGCCAACTCGTTCAAATGCTCGCTGCTTAGCCGCTGAATGTCAAATCCCTCCTTGACAAGTCGGCGAGACTCTAGAGCCCCACTCCAATCCCAACTCACAGTGATTTCAGCGCCCGGCTTCAATGCCTGGTTAGCAAACAAACCAAAACATATCTCAGAACGATCAATGACGATGGTCCGGAGCGCTAGATTCGGGCGGCAACTTCGCCTCACAAACCGTGCCTCCGATCCGTACCGACGGGCATCCACATAAACCGGGAGATTCGGATGAAAGAGAACATAAGGCTTTGGATGATGCCAAGAGGAATATTGATTTGCGCGATCTTTTTTATAGGAATCTTGAAAACCAACCTCTCCTTTGTAGATGGCAATTAGATCGCCTTGAGAACAATCCGCTCCGAGCAAAAGACGTCGTCTAGGGTGTTCGGGATTAGTCCTGGAAGCTTCTGGAAGAACCTGAGGGGAGGCTTTTGGTAAGCCGAGGGAAGCCAGCTCTTGTCGATTAAGGTATACGAGTCGCTCGAGGGGGCTAGGCACATCCGGGCCGGGTACCGGCATTACCAGGGAGTGGAGGAACCGCTGGACATCGGCACCGGCATATTTGTCCGGGCTGTTACCCAAGTCAGTGAATCCTTCTCTGAGATATCTTGTCGGTTTCTCAGGGTCGGTATCACTTTCTGTTTCGCCGTTGCGGGCAGACGGGGGGTCAAGGGGGATATTTGTATTGGGAACATTGGTGAGGATAGAATGATGGGAAGCGGAAGAGTTGGATCCAGCATTGTTGTTCGACTGGGCAGAGGCCCGGTGGCCCCTTTTCCGTGGGGGCTGCTGCATTTCTTTCGGACTGACCAACTTGCCAGGTCCATGGACACCAGTCTTCTCCGCGGACGACGAAATTTTCCCGGGTGTGATGCCATTTGTACCATTCGCAAGCTCCCTCTTTTTGTGAGACGTCCCGGTCGATCGCTTCTTCTTGTGACTCCTTTTGGCCTGCTCCTCTTCCCTTCGGTGCTGTTGAATATCCTTGGCCATTTGAACGTCCAAAGTGCGTGGATCGCATTTAGGGCAGTAGTAGATACTGGGCACATTGTCCTTGTTGAGTTGAACGCAGACAAGATGCTGCCAAGTATCGCATTTGTCGCAGCATATTGTGAATCCATCATCATCAGATATTTCACAGATGCAGTCGATTTCACCGGAAGTGTCTGCGGCGTCTTCAGGGGTAGCTGTCGAGTTTGCAAGCGAGGGGGGCTGCGAAGGAGCAGGAGTCGATGGAATAGTAGGGTTCTCGGTCATTATCCTGCGTAAAAACAGCCTCTCTGCGGCTTCTTCTTCGAGGGGATTTGTCGTCTTCAGCAGTAATCTGGTCTGAGACTCATGTCGTAGAAGGTGGCAGAGAGGGGGTTGAGAGGGGGCGAATTTAAAAGAAATATCGAGGTAACTGCCGACTTCGTCAGCATTGCCATATCGGACGAAGGGCAAGGATCTCGTTTTCCCTGTAGCAGTCCTCTCCCTCTCCTGGAGAGAGAAGTAAAAAGGGGTGAAGGGCCGAACGAAACGAATAGGGAGCGAGGATAATGCTGACCTTATGAAATGACTCTCGGGGTCAAGGGCAAGGGAAAAGGATAGGCGTTCTGAGTTGACCCAAAGCCCCCTTTACGATACTGATGTTTTTTTTCCTTTCTTTCTTTCTTTCCTTCCTTCTTCCCCTTCCGGTCTACCGTTCGAGGCGACGATGAAGAGCGGGGGGGCAAAGGAGCACGCGCGTGTTTGCCCCGACAGCGGACCCGACAAAGTGGGATGACGGACCAGGGCAAAATCGATGAGCAAAGAACTCTGCGAAGGGATGAGAAGCAGATGTATTATGGTAAATGGGGTTTCCGAGTCCAGCAAGATTTACTCTTTGTTCAAGCGCCGGCACCAAATTCGAAGGGGGTAGTTTTTTTTTTTTTTTTTCTCTCGAAGAGGATGGAAACGACGAAGGATGAATCGCCTTCTCCTATTTAATTTTTTAAATTCCTGGCGGGAGTCGATTGGCCTTGCGTGTTGGGTCGGATAGAAACACTGTTTAAAAGATGAGAAGGGTGTGGACGAGATGGCAAGCCGTTGAATGGATGAAGGAGGGAGAGAGGGAGGGAGAGAGGGATGTGGGCGGTGGTGGTGGAGCAAGAAGGGGGTGGAGGAGTGGGCAGGGAGAGGGTGAAAGTGAAAAGGTGATGGGAGGCGAGTGAGCAAGGAGGGGAGAGGTAGCAGGAGAGTACGACTTTGTGAAGAGAGCGGGCGAACAAGAGTGTGCGAGGAGGGAGGTGAGTGAGAAAGTGAGTGAGAGCGAGAGGGAGAGAAAGCGAGAGCGCAGTCGTTGCAGCAGCAACAGGAGCAGAAGCATCAAAGCAACGAGCGGAGGGAGAGAGACGAGCACTGAGCAGCAGCAGCAGCAGCCAAGCAACAGCAGCGAATATGGACAGAAGGGGGAAAGGGCGGATGGGCAGAGTGAACCACGGCTGGCTGGGCGGACAGTGGGAGAGTGAGTTTGAATGGTGAACGAAGGGAAGACTTACCTCCAAATCAATATCCGGAAATCATCTAACCCTTTTGGGAAGGCTTAGCTGTAATGAGAAAGGAATAAATTCACAGAATTCCCCGTCTCCGCTATTTTATGTATGTACGGATGTGAGTAAGTCCAAATTTCCCCCCCCTTCCCCCCCAACCACCAGGAAGTGAAGGGGGGGGGAAGGAACATCGATCTCGAAGCTGTGCAGGGGCGGCATCCTGGCAACGAGCTTTGGCTTGCTCTCCCGACGGCGTCCCTGATGCCAGACGAGAGGTATGAAGGGTATGGAGGCCGTGTGTAGATGGCTTCACCGAGGAGGCCGAGTTAGTGGGGATGATAGAGGGAGGAGTGTACGGGGTTGAACGAGAGGAAAGTGACGGGCAAACAGAACAGAGGAAGCGATGGGGAGAGAGAAAACAGCGGTCAAAGTAACAGGAGAAAGGGGGGTGTCCTTCCAGAGTGATGCCTCACCCTCCGTCGGTGTCCGCGACAGGAATTTTCCCTACCTCCGGCCTGCTGTGGCCTTGATTTGTACCTTGTATGCATGCCCAGTAGCGGAAAAGGGAAAGGGAAAAAAAGGTGGTGTGGGGAGCGAAAACAAATGAGAGAAAATCACGGTACGAGTGGAAAGGAGAAGGAAAAGGAAAAAAAGGAAAAAAGGGAAAAGAAGAAAAAAGAAATCCTATGGACCCCAAAAAAATCAGAGGTTCGAACGGAGGACAGGCGCTTTCTCCCTTGTCGCCTTCCTCCCCAACATGTCAAGATGAGCTAGGACGAGCTGGGGAAAGAGCGCTGATTTCTGATTCAGGGAGATGGGAATAAAAATAAATCGAAGAGACCACCACCAGTGTCCACTGTCCACTGTTCACTGTCCTCCACCACCACCACAACTCCCCCCTCCCACCCACCACCTTTTTTTCTTTTTCTTCTTCTTCTTCTTCTTCCCTCCCACAAAGTGCACCACCATACTCGAGTACTCGAGTGCCGTACAGTACGAGAACAGAACTCGAGCACGGTAATCCATCATCATCACCATCGTAAGAGTCAGAGGCATACAGGGATCTTGGGGCTTGGCTCCCCCCCTCAACCTGCAGAGCAGAGAAGCAAGCGAAAAAAAAAAAGGAATGAAACAAGGTAACTTACCGCTACCGTACTCGTAGAAAAAGGAAATCGAGTACAGTAGAGTATATTTCATGTGTGCGAGCAGAAAGGACAGAAAAGGGAAGCAGCTCTCCATCCTTGGAGGGACATCAAACCCAGTGCCCTCGTATGGTTCGTGCGGGGTTTCGCATTCCAGCCAATTGTCGTGCCACTCTCGTCCCCTTGGCTCTCCTCCATTCTATTCCTCCCCACGCGGCCTGATGATTTGCAATCAAATTTCATTACCGGTACGAGTACAGGTATAAGGACGGCGCCGGACCGGCATATACTCGGATAATACACTGATGGTCTCGCTAAGGTCACTGGAGGACCGGTAAGCCAGCAAACCAGAAGTTACAACGAATCCCCCTCCGCCCCGAGAGAACTCCCGACGAAGGTCTCTCTGCTCCCGCCCTGTCCGTTCAGCGTCCTCGTTCGAACCATCTCACACTCTCGTGGCTACAGAAACTCTCCCAGCGATCTCTCGTTCACGAGGTTGATGATGATGGTGATGATGTCGGCAAGGTAATCCGCCGATGATCGTAGAAAAACGAACTTTCCCAGTTGCGGCGAGGGAGCGGCTGAAAGTTATTCGTACTGTGGTGAAAGCGTGCAAGGTGCTGTAGCTGAGCCCCCCCAGCTGTTATCACAATGCCGTATTATCGAACCGCATCCGGCCTCTGGATAAAGGGGGGCAGAGATTGGTCGATAAGGAGATGTGGCCCCTTCCCTCGAAATGTCACAAAGCAAGGGAACGCCGCCGCCGGCTTCTGGTACTCTGCAGTTAGGTAACTGCACTCGAGTACGATTACTCGTACTCGAGTACCGGTACGAGTGCTGTAAATCGAGTGCAGTCCAAGCGCGCTATCGAAAAGAAAAAAAAAATGTTCGAAAGCGTGTATTCATTCTCCATCACCAAGCCCCCATATGCGCCGTCATCCAGTAGTCCCCTGTGAACTCATAAAACCGGCCTTTCATGCATTCTTTTTCCTGCCTTTAACACCCTTGGGTTCATACCGGACCTCGTCAGTATTCCTGAGCACGCCCAACCGAGCCCTTCTCGTCCAATCACTCAGCATCACTCGAAATTCCACCCGATTCAGCGCGTCAGTGGAACGCCAATGTTTTATCCCCAAGCCCCCTTCATATGATAGAAATCTCCCGTCGACAAGAAATTCCTCGTTGTGCGTGGCCACACCGTACCGCACTACAATCACCCATGCCTCTAGATCCCCATTATTCATTCCTTACGTATGCCAGCAGCAACCCTACCTACCATGATATGACTTTTCCCATGTGGTGCCCATCAGTTCTGGAGGTCTCCCGGATTGAGCTTAATGAGCCTTCATGGGGGAGGAGAGGGGTGGGACCCGCATCCCTCCCTCCCTCCATATGCGGGAACTCGATATCGAAAAAACCTCTCTGGTTGGATTCCCCCTTTTCCCCCCCGCCCCCCCCCCCCCTTACAGCCACACGCAACCGCCGCGACAATTCATGCAAAAAGCCACAGTCGGGCAATCACAATTGGGTAGCAATACTCGAGTACAGTACCAGGTACAGTAAATGGAAACTTTTTTCTCTGCGAGTGAGGGCACGATACAAGCAGAGTACTGTACGTATGATGGATGACCTGGGATCTTCTTCACAGGGAGGTTGAGATCTGAACCCCGACAGGAGAGGAGAAGATGCTCAGAGTGTTTGGGTCAGTCATTACCGGTACTTGTATAGTACGTACGACCGCCAACGTTTAATGAAAATGAAAATGAAAACCGCCCGAGTCAGTGTTTTAGGCGTCTCGCCAATGCTGGTAATATCTTGCCACGTGGTTTTTTTTCTCTCCGATTGTGCTCGGGAAGGCTGGCCGGGTCTGTCGTGATATTACTGTACTGTATAAACCCCAAGATCGCTACGGTACCGTACCTGTACTCGAGTACAGTTACTGACGGCGGTCGAGGAGGATCACCCGGTGTCAGTCGTGTGGGCTCATGTCGGCATCGTTCAGCGCATGGACCAAGTGTATCGTATCATACTCGTACTGTACAAGTACTCGTACAATACCGTACCGCTTCCTGGCTTTTTGTAAAAAAAAAAAAAAAGCTTATCGCAGCCCAAGCACGATTTTCTCACGTGTAATTTTTCCGCTCCATACCGGGGTCGAGCTGGCTGGGGTGCCGTAATCATATCATACAAGTATCATACCGAGGATTCCATCCTGCTTTCCTGGGGTACCGTATGGGGTATCATATATTCTTCATGATTGTGATTTTTTCTGTGGGGGGGGGGGGGATGGGGGAAAAGTGCAAGTCATAATGTCGCACTCGGTCCAAGGCATCCGTTCTCGGGGCCTCGGTGAGAAGTGGCTGTGTGGACCAACATACCGGTAGTAGCCTCCTTGGAAATTGGGGGAAAAGGAGGTTCGCATGTTGGCTGGCTGGGGGTGGATACCTTTTTTTTTTTTTGACATTTCCTGCGCCGATGCTCCCGATGGAGTGGTCATGCGATCCACATAAAGTACGGTATGGTGCGAGTGCTTGAGTACGGTAATGACTTCCCGTTGACACGATGAAAGTACACAACCGGTACTGTACCAGCTCAATACACGTAGCTCGCATTAGGGAGATTCGAAGCTCTCAGTATGCTGCGAACCGAGTACACGGTATACCCCACGAATACAGGTGTACTGCTTGAATAAAATGACCATACCTGTGCACTGATATGCTGTATCCCTCCTTCTGAGGAGGCTTGTTGTGTACCATAATTTCCCAAAAAAATACACCTCTACCGAAACACTCGTACCTTGCGTGTGCTGAGAGCTTTGAATCTCCCTATTACGGTAACGGTATTCAACGTTAGCTTTTAACAGGGCTCCCTTTCTCCAGAGTCGACGGGATCTCTTCCCGGTTTCACCTCCTCACCCCTGGTTTAGAGCTGCCACTTCGTGCCTTATCGAACCCCCTTTTCTCTTACAAGCGGGACGCCGAAAGCAGCCAACCCCATGGGCTTGTTCCAGCACCGATACTTATGTAAGGGGTGGGATAGCTTCATAAAGTGTTCGGAAAAAAGATGTAGACTACTTGACTTCAATTGTAACCTTGCTAGTGACTGGATTTAAATTCTCTGAAGAGTAGCAGCTGTGGGCGATAAAACCTTCCTCAGACTTGTACCAAGGTAGTTGTTTTTGGTAGGAAAAACTGCATCCTGGTGGAATTTGAAAGTTCAACCGCATACTGCTCTTGTGGAGGTGGGAATTGGGTAGACTATACGGAAGACGATGCCATTGCTGTTCTCAGTGGTTCTATGGGTATTTTTTGTGGATTTTCTCCTATGGGATATCTTGGAGCGGAATCTGCTATTTTTGAGGTAAAATTGTCCGTGCCGACTCACTTTTTAGGTCCCGCTTGTTTCGTGTGATCCGTTTCTGGTGGGGCTAATCGACATTTACCCCTCGCTTTGTTTCTTTCTTTCTCGCGGAGAGGTTTCATCGGCTTGGGAGTTGCTTAGGAGCCCTATGATGAGCAGGATACTGGTACATGGTCTAGCACAACGAATTGATCACGATGACGGAAATACTTTGTGGTATGGGATGGTTGGGATAATGGTATTGCCATGGCGTAAATCGCCTAAAAAGAATATAACGCCCTAAGCTACGGAAAGTGATTTCAAGTACGTCGTTCGGTACGCGTTCTCGTCGACCTGGGGATCTCGGTTCAAAGGAGTCCACTTGGGCTAAATTTCCTTGTTAACATGATGGGAAGGGGGTGAAGGATGGGGGATGGGAGGAACCTACCTCCTCCTGGAATAGTCGCATCGCTTTGATATACTGTATGCTCATTAACGTCGGTGGACCTCAAGAACCAACAGCTTGTTAGAATGGTGAGGCCATACATTATTTTTATCAGTCGTGAACCGATGGTAGATTCCTGCTGGGAGGATTATCAAATCCCCTTTGGACACACTGATCCTCACCCAGCAGTCATCCTTGGATCGAACATCAAAGAAACCGTGGCCGTCCAGGACATATCTTATTTCCTCATCCTCGTGTAGGTGCTCGTGGAAAAAGGTCTTCACTTTGCCTTCGTAGAGATCACCTAAGGCACTCGGGGATATTGTGACCTCATCCCGGTTCTTATAGCCACGCTCAGTGGCAAGAGCGTTCACGTCATCGACCGAGTCGAAATGGTGGGTCAATACACCAATCTGATTGAGGGCAGCTCCGGAAATGACGGCTCCTGAGTCGTGATCCTCGCGTTGATCGCCCTGCAAGGAGCAAGCGTAATTAGTTGAGTTTGCCTTACTCCACAGATTGCCTTTACCTCATTCCTTCGCAAGGGTGAAACTAACCGTGATATTATCGTATTCGTAGGCTCTCATGATAGCATTGGTTGGGGGGAAGTTCCGCAGGCGTTTTATGGTGGGCTTTAGGACAGACAGCGGATGGGATGGGATTGAGGAGTGGGGAGGGGGCAGGGTTTTGTGAGGAGGGGTTCGCATCGTCCTTGCCCTCTTTCATTGCTTTCACTTTTAGCAAGATAATGGTATGCTCCATGCCAAGGCACCCACCGCTTTGGAGGCCGCGAAGCGACTCCTGGTGAGTACCGTACGATACAGGTGTGTCTATGGATTCTCGTACGATTCTCGGCAACCACACCACCATAGCATGGTAGCCTTGACCATGAAAAAAAAAAAAAGCCTCCAATTAAAAAAAAATATAAAAGTAGAGATGGAAAATAACAATTTATAAATGCTACCATTTTGTATGACTTCCATTTGCCTTAGGTACAACCCAAAGTCTTTCAAGCATCCTCTAAATCCATAATGAATCATTTAAATAGTTTTGTTTTATTTCGGGAAATAAGTTCACTCTTCCTTTTGGCTGTCTCTAACAACTTAGTAGCACCATGAGACCTTCTCTGAAGCTTAGAGCATTGTTTTTTTAAGGCTTTTCAGAATAGATATCACAAACTGTGACTAAGCAAGGCGGATTTTACATAGCGTGGAATTTCGAGCTATAGGTATGTTGGGATTTCACATGATGCATACTAGTGCACTATAGGTTATTACGTTTACCTGTTTGTGCCTCACAGTTGTGAGTCATACGATGTTATGACTTTCACACATGACTCAATATATGAGTCATGGGTTTCACTTAGGTGACGTGAGTTACGCACCTGACTTGGTTATTATGTTTTGATTGGTTTTAGGTATGTTGCGTAGCGACTCATAGGAGTCGGCTGATGGATTTCACATGACTCATGGTTATGAGTCACAGGGTTCGCGTGATGTAAAGTATGAATCATGCCAGGTGAAGAGCTACTGTATAAAGGGTCACAAGGACCCCGGGTATTAGCTCTTCACACATTCTTCTTGTTTATTTCCTACCTTTAAGTTATTACAATAAAACCTACCTTTACACTCTTTAAGATTTATCTTAAGAAACCCGAGAATTGTCTTTCCTCCTAAGGGACAAAACTGTTTCTCCTCCTATGTCGAATAATTAAGTCCTAAATGAGGACTTAAGAAGATTAGAGGAATAGGCATGATCAGATAGAAGTCAAAAGGACTTGACTATCAGTATCGTGTAGGTATTGGCCTAAGAACTATCACCTTGCTACAAATTAAGAATCATTACCTGTCACACCTCAGTCCCCAGTAGGATTCTTAACATTAGAATGTGTCTCTACAATGCAACACTTAACGATTACACCACGGCTTCGTTCAACTCAGATCAAGAAGGAGATTTGGACCTCCAAGACGACTGTTTAGGTCTAGGGGGATTAGAAGAAGTGCTCAGTGAAGCAGGCAGACACTCAGTAAGATTAGCCAGTCCGGTCACACCCGAACAAGCCACTCCTCCAAACGAAGAAGAACTACCAGAAACACCGAAACCTGAAAGAATGTTAGGACCAGCACCATCTGCAGGCCCACCTCCAGCAGGACCAGCACCTCCTCAGATGATTCCACAAAACGAAGTAGAACAGATGATACGAGAGGCTATAAGAGAAATAGGGCAACAACCTAAAGTCAAAACCCCACCACGATATGATGGGGAAAGAAGCAAGCTATGTGGATTCATAGTACAACTCCGGACCTACTTCAAGACAGTAGGATGGACACAAGGAAACAACCAAGACAAAGTACAATATACACTTATCCTACTCGAAGGAATAAAGAATGTTACCGATTATTGATACAAGTTCCGACTACTCCAGTACGATGCAGAATGCAATGAGGCCTCTGCTCTGAGATGGTTCATGAAAGGCTTGAGAAGAACCTATTAAGAGGCATGGAGGTACAGTGAGGAAAAATTCACTACAACTGAAGCGATGGCCCACTGGGCCATTAGAAAGGAAATCCAGTTTGGACAACTAGACAGGATCTAAAAGAACCAGTCACACATAACACAAAGCAACACTATGAAGACAAGAAACCAAAGTACACCTAGGAACCAGAATGGAACTTTCAGAACCACCACCCAAGGAGGAGATGCTAGGGACTTAGACGCCACTAGAAAGAGACCATTCCTCAACCTTGCAAAAGACGAGTACCTTTGGCGACGAAACAACAATCTATACCTAAGATATAGAATAGAAGAGAATATGATCAAGGATTGCAGATGAACTGCCAACCTAGCTCCAAACCAAGAAAGGAACTAACAGAATCCAAGACCGAGCCCCAGATTCCAACTATGTAGCAACTTAAGGGAAATCGAAATCAAAGACGATTATAAGAAGGTGGCAAAAGCTGAAGGTCCCCAGCAATAGATAGTCTGTAGGACCCTCCGAAAGACAAACCCATCGCGATGGCCAACTATTACACTCTTTTAAGCCAGAAAACGAATAACAACGACAATGATCATATTATAATCAAAACCACTATTTATGACGACAAACAAGAAGCAATAATGATAGATGCAATGCTCGATTCAGGAGCAAGGGAAGATTTCATTGATAAAGAAATCTGAGAAAAAAAAATATCAACTAAGGACCAAGAAAGCAAAATACAACAGACAGATTTACCTCCATCGGCAAAAATAAATCCTGCGTCAGATGCGCGGGCACCGCGTCCGGACGCCCGGTGTTTTTCCCCTGCATCCCCTGCATCCTGTACATCTGGTCTTATGTTGCAACGGCCAGCCATGTCTGCTGCGTCCTCCATTTCAACACCCGGTTTATCCCGTCATCTGTGACGCCTCCCACGTCCGGCCGTTCTGAGGCCGTCCCCACTCACCTCCCACATTTCATTCTATTCTGGACGCCTGTATCCATACCTTCTTTCTCCATCCTGTTGTAATGCATTTGGCATATCTGCTCTTCTCAGGGTGGCGATACAGTGTTTTGATACCCAGCGTCCGCCTGTCTGGTTCATATTGTCCCATCCTCTGGCGTCTGGACTCGGTCCACATCTCCCCCGGGAGCCTGCATCTCAGTGGGAACTCCTGACGCTGCACTTCTACGTTCAGAATTGGGTCCTACCGATTTCAGGACTCTGTATCTTGTGTAGGCTTCCATTTGCCGCCACCCCATTCCCACTGTGAATGTCATATCTCGATCAAGTTTATTTCCATTTTATGACTTCCGAATCTATCTACATTATGTTATCTATGGAGGGTTACAACTCTAAGAGCTTCCCATTATGTGATATCCACACCATAGCCCTCCTTCTCGCCCTTCTCTTGCCGTAAGCGCCTAAGTCCCATATGTTGAATGCCATCAATTCCTAGGTGTCCCAGCCCTACGCCCACATCCTCCGTCTCCGCTACACCTCCGGCGATTGAAAACTCAACACCACGGTTTTTATCGTGAGTTTTTTGTTTCGTCGCGAAACTTTCTCCACCCTCCCGCCCACTCCTGCCTTTGGCCTCGGCCTAGGGGAGTCTGGCTCCTCTCTCCTCTCACGCCCGGGGTATTGACTTTGGTCTACCGTCGCAGGGCCCTCTCTCTCCCTGGGGGTTGGTCGGTCGGAGGCCCTCCTCGGCTGGCTAGCAGGTGGTGGGATCCCTTCCACTACAGTGACGCTATCTCTCCCAGAACAAGGGACTACATGAGAGACGCGGTAAAACACCTGCTATGCTTTGCCCAGGCGGCCGTTGATGATCTTCCTTACTCCCCCTTCCTCCTCCCCCCACGCGTGGTGGGGAGTCCTCTCCTCCTCTTGGGTTGGCCTCGCTTAGCCTTCCCACGGTCGGCAACCCCTTAACCACCATTGTCAGACGGCCGGGACTACAGTTGCAGTAGGGGAGAATAGCCAACAGGCTACGGTCGATCTCCCCATTCTCTTGTTCCCCTAAGAGGCTGCCTAGTCAGACACGAACGCGATA